GCAGTCTCTTACCGTCTCCTGTATCGTGTCTGCAGTCTCTGACCGTCTCCAGTATCGTGTCTGCAGTCTCTGACCATCTCTTGTATCACCTCTGCAGTCTCTGACCATTTCACATCTGCAGTCTCTGACCATCTCTCGTCTCACGTCTGCAGTCTCTTACCGTCTCACGTCTGCAGTCTCTTACCGTCTCACGTCTGCAGTCTCTTACCATCTCACGTCTGCAGTCTCTGACCATCTCTCATCTCGTGTCTGCAGTCTCTGACCATCTCTCCTGTATCGTGTCTGCAGTCTCTGACCATCTCCTGTATCGTGTCTGCAGTCTCTGACCATCTCTTAGTTTGTGTTTCGCTATTGCCATGGTATAGCAATGATTACTAGCAGTCTTTTCTATTTTGTCTCCAGTCAGAGAATTTCTCCTGCAGCATGTCTGCAATAACTGGTATAAACATATTCCCAGTCTCTGACAGTCTCCTGTAGCAAGAGAATAGTCCCTGACCGTCTCCTGTATCACTTCTGCAGTCTCTGACCATCTCCTGTATCGTGTCCGCAGTCTCTGACCGTCTCCTGTATCGTGTCCGCAGTCTCTGACCGTCTCCTGTATCGTGTTCGCAGTCTCTGACCGTCTCCTGTATCGTGTCCGCAGTCTCTGACCGTCTCCTGTATCGTGTTCGCAGTCTCTGACCGTCTCCTGTATCGTGTCCGCAGTCTCTGCCCGTCTCCTGTATCGTGTCCGCAGTCTCTGCCCGTCTCCTGTATCGTGTCCGCAGTCTCTGCCCGTCTCCTGTATCGTGTCCGCAGTCTCTGACCGTCTCCTGTATCGTGTCCGCAGTCTCTGACCGTCTCCTGTATCGTGTCCGCAGTCTCTGACCGTCTCCTGTATCGTGTCCGCAGTCTCTGACCGTCTCCTGTATCGTGTCCGCAGTCTCTGACCGTCTCCTGTATCGTGTCCGCAGTCTCTGACCGTCTCCTGTATCGTGTCCGCAGTCTCTGACCGTCTCCTGTATCGTGTCCGCAGTCTCTGACCGTCTCCTGTATCGTGTCCGCAGTCTCTGACCGTCTCCTGTATCGTGTCCGCAGTCTCTGACCGTCTCCTGTATCGTGTCCGCAGTCTCTCTGACCGTCTCCTGTATCGTGTCCGCAGTCTCTGACCGTCTCCTGTATCGTGTCCGCAGTCTCTGACCGTCTCCTGTATCGTGTCCGCAGTCTCTGACCGTCTCCTGTATCGTGTCCGCAGTCTCTGACCGTCTCCTGTATCGTGTCCGCAGTCTCTGACCGTCTCCAGTATCGTGTCCGCAGTCTCTGACCGTCTTCCGTATCGTGTCTTCAGTCTCTGACCGTCTCCCGTATCGTGTCCGCAGTCTCTGACCGTCTCCCGTATCGTGGCTGCAGTCTCTGACCGTCTCCCGTATCGTGGCTGCAGTCTCTGACCGTCTCCCGTATCGTGTCTTCAGTCTCTGACCGTCTCCCGTATCGTGTCCGCAGTCTCTGACCGTCTCCCGTATCGTGGCTGCAGTCTCTGACCGTCTCCCGTATCGTGGCTGCAGTCTCTGACCGTCTCCAGTATCGTGTCTGCAGTCTCTGACCGTCTCCGTATCGTGTCTTCAGTCTCTGACCGTCTCCCGTATCGTGTCTTCAGTCTCTGACCGTCTCCCGTATCGTGTCCGCAGTCTCTGACCGTCTCCCGTATCGTGCCTGCAGTCTCTGACCGTCTCCCGTATCGTGGCTGCAGTCTCTGACCGTCTCCCGTATCGTGTCTGCAGTCTCTGACCGTCTCCCGTATCGTGGCTGCAGTCTCTGACCGTCTCCCGTATTGTGGCTGCAGTCTCTGACCGTCTCCCGTATCGTGTCTTCAGTCTCTGACCGTCTCTTGTATCGTGTCTGCAGTCTCTTACCGTCTCTTGTATCGTATCTGCAGTCTCTGACCATCTCTTAGTTTGTGTTTCGCTATTGCCATGGTATAGCAATGATTACTAGCAGTCTTTTGTATTTTGTCTCCAGTCAGAGAATGTCTCCTGCAGAATGTCTCCAATAACTGGTATAACATGTTCTTAGTCTCTGACAGTCTCCTGTAGCAAGAGAATAGTCTCTGACTGTGTCTTGTATCACGTCTGCAGTCTCTGACTATTTCTCGTATCGTGTCTGCAGTCTCTTACCATCTCTTGTATCATGTCTGCAGTCTCTGTCCATCTCCTGTATCGTGTCTGCAGTCTCTGTCTGCAGTCTCTGACCATCTCTCGTCTCGTGTCTGCAGTCTCTTACCGTCTCCTGTATCGTGTCTGCAGTCTCTGACCGTCTCTAGTATCGTGTCTGCAGTCTCTGACCGTCTCCAGTATCGTGTCTGCAGTCTCTGACCGTCTCCAGTATCGTGTCTGCAGTCTCTGACCGTCTCCTGTATCGTGTCTGCAGTCTCTGACCGTCTCCTGTATCGTGTCTGCAGTCTCTGACCGTCTCCAGTATCGTGTCTGCAGTCTCTGACCGTCTCCCTGTATCGTGTCTGCAGTCTCTGACCGTCTCCTGTATCGTGTCTGTCTAGTCTCTGACCGTCTCCTGTATCGTGTCTGCAGTCTCTGACCGTCTCCTGTATCGTGTCTGCAGTCTCTGACCGTCTCGTCTCGTGTCTGCAGTCTCTGACCGTCTCCTGTACGTGTCTGCAGTCTCTTAGCATCTCCTGTATCGTGTCTGCAGTCTCTGACCGTCTCCTGTATCGTGTCTGCAGTCTCTGACCGTCTCCAGTATCGTGTCTGCAGTCTCTGACTGTCTCCAGTATCGTGTCTGCAGTCTCTGACCGTCTCCAGTATCGTGTCTGCAGTCTCTGACCGTCTCCAGTATCGTGTCTGCAGTCTCTGACCGTCTCCTAGTATCGTGTCTGCAGTCTCTGACCGTCTCAGTATCGTGTCTGCAGTCTCTGACCGTCTCCAGTATCGTGTCTGCAGTCTCTGACCGTCTCCAGTATCGTGTCTGCAGTCTCTGACCGTCTCCAGTATCGTGTCTGCAGTCTCTGACCGTCTCCCGTCTCGTGTCTGCAGTCTCTGACCGTCTCCTGTATCGTGTCTGTAGTCTCTGACCGTCTCCTGTATCGTGTCTGCAGTCTCTGACCGTCTCCTGTATCGTGTCTGCAGTCTCTGACCATCTCTCGTCTCGTGTCTGCAGTCTCTTACCATCTCACTGTCTGCAGTCTCTTAGCATCTCCTGTATCGTGTCTGCAGTCTCTGACCGTCTCCTGTATCGTGTCTGCAGTCTCTGACCGTCTCCTGTATCGTGTCTGCAGTCTCTGACTGTCTCCAGTATCGTGTCTGCAGTCTCTGACCGTCTCCAGTATCGTGTCTGCAGTCTCTGACCGTCTCCTGTATCGTGTCTGCAGTCTCTGACCGTCTCCTGTATCGTGTCTGCAGTCTCTGACCGTCTCCTGTATCGTGTCTGCAGTCTCTGACCGTCTCCTGTATCGCGTCTGCAGTCTCTGACCGTCTCCTGTATCGCGTCTGTAGTCTCTGACCGTCTCCTGTATCGTGTCTGCAGTCTCTTACCGTCTCTTGTATCGTATCTGCAGTCTCTGACCATCTCTGTAGTTTGTGTTTTGCTATTGCCATGGTATAGCAATGATTACTCGCAGTCTTTTATTTTGTCTCCAGTCAGAGAATGTCTCCTGCAGCCTGTCTCCAATAACTGGTATAACATATTCCTAGTCTCTGACAGTCTCCTGTAGCAAGTCCGCAGTCTCTGACCGTCTCCTGTATCACTGTCTGCAGTCTCTGACCATCTCCCCTGTATCGTGTCTCTGCAGCCTCTGTCCCAGTCTCTGACCTGTATCGTGTCCGCAGTTTCTGACCGTCTCTTGTATTGTGTCCGCAGTCTCTGACCGTCTCCTGTATCGTGTCCGCAGTCTCTGACCGTCTCCTGTATCGTGTCCGCAGTCTCTGACCGTCTCCTGTATCGTGTCCGCAGTCTTGACCGTCTCCTGTATCGTGTCCGCAGTCTCTGACCGTCTCCTGTATCGTGTCCGCAGTCTCTGACCGTCTCCTGTATCGTGTCCGCAGTCTCTGACCGTCTCCTGTATCGTGTCCGCAGTGTCTCTGACCGTCTCCTGTATCGTGTCCGCAGTCTCTGACCGTCTCCTGTATCGTGTCCGCAGTCTCTGACCGTCTCCTGTATCGTGTCCGCAGTCTCTGACCGTCTCCTGTATCGTGTCCGCAGTCTTTGACCGTCTCCTGTATCATGTGTCTGCAGTCTCTGACCGTCTCCTGTATCGTGTCTGCAGTCTCTGACCGTCTCCTGTATCGTGTCTGCAGTCTGACCGTCTCCTGTATCGTGTCCGCAGTCTCTGACCGTCTCCTGTATCGTGTCTGCAGTCTCTGACCGTCTCCTGTCTCGTGTCCTGCAGTCTCTGACCGTCTCCTGTCTCGTGGTCTGCAGTCTCTGACCGTCTCCTGTATCGTGTCTGCAGTCTCTGACCGTCTCCCGTATCGTGTCTGCAGTCTCTGACCGTCTCCTGTATCATGTCGTCTGCAGTCTCTGACCGTCTCCTGTATCGTGTCTGCAGTCTCTGACCATCTCGTGTCTGCAGTCTCTGACCGTCTCCCTACCGTGTCTGCAGTCTCTGACCGTCTCCCGTACCGTGTCTGCAGTCTCTGACCGTCTCCCGTACCGTGGCTGCAGTCTCTGACCGTCTCCCGTATCGTGTCTGCAGTCTCTGACCGTCTCCCGTATCGTGTCTGCAGTCTCTGACCGTCTCCCGTATCGTGTCTGCAGTCTCTGACCGTCTCCCGTCTCGTGTATCGTGTCCGCAGTCTCTTACCGTCTTTTGTATCGTATTCTGCAGTCTCTGACCATCTCTACTTTGTGTTTTGCTATTGCCATGGTATAGCAATGATTACTAGCAGTCTTTTGTATTTTGTCTCCAGTCAGAGAATGTCTCCTGCAGCATGTCTCCAATAACTGATATAACATATTCCTAGTCTCTGACAGTCTCCTGTAGCAAGAGAATAGTCTCTGACCGTCTCCTGTATCACTTCTGCAGTCTCTGACCATCTCCTGTATCGTGTCCACAGTCTCTGACCGTCTCCTGTATCGTGTCCGCAGTCTCTGACCGTCTCCTGTACCGTGTCTGCAGTCTCTGACCGTCTCCTGTATCGTGTCTGCAGTCTCTGACCGTCTCCTGTACCGTGTCTGCAGTCTCTGACCGTCTCCTGTACCGTGTCTGCAGTCTCTGACCGTCTCCAGTACCGTGTCTGCAGTCTCTGACCGTCTCCTGTATCGTGTGTCCGCAGTCTCTGACCGTCTCCTGTACCGTGTCCGCAGGCTCTGACCGTCTCCAGTACCGTGTCTGCAGTCTCTGACCGTCTCCTGTACCGTGTCTGCAGTCTCTGACCGTCTCCTGTATCGTGTCTGCAGTCTCTGACCGTCTTCAGTATCATGTCGCCTGCAGTCTCCAGTATCGTGTCTGCAGTCTCTGACCATCTCTTGTATCATGTCTGCAGTCTCTGACCATCTCTTAGTTTTTGTTTCCCTATTGCCATGGTATAGCAATGATTACTAGCAGTCTCTTTTTTCTCCACTCAGAGAATGTCTCCTGCAGAATGTCTCCAATAACTGGTATAACATGTTCCTAGTCTCTGACAGTCTCCTGTAGCAAGAGAATAGTTTCTGACCGTGTCTTGTATCACGTCTGCAGTCTCTGACTATTTCTTGTTTCTTGTATCACGTCTGCAGTCTCTGACCGTCTCCTGTATTGTGTCTGCAGTCTCTGACCGTCTCCTGTATTGTGTCTGCAGTCTCTGACCGTCTCTTGTATCGTGTCTGCAGTCTCTGACCGTCTCTTGTATCGTGTCTGCAGTCTCTGACCGTCTCTTGTATCGTGTCTGCAGTCTCTGACCGTCTCTTGTATCGCAGTCTGTCTGCAGTCTCTGACCGTCTCTTGTATCGTGTCTGCAGTCTCTGACCGTCTCTTGTATCGTGTCTGCAGTCTCTGACCGTCTCTTGTATCGTGTCTGCAGTCTCTGACCGTCTCTTGTATCGTGTCTGCAGTCTCTGACCATCTCTTTAGTTTGTGCAGTCTTTACCCCTGTATTGCCATGGTATAGCAATGATTACTAGCAGTGTGGTGTATTTTGTCTCCAGTCAGAGAATGTCTCCTGCAGAATGTCTCCCAATAACTGGTATAACATGTTCCTAGTCTCTGACAGTATTTTGTCTCCAGTAGCAAGAGAATAGTCTCCTGACCGTGTCTTGTATCACGTCTGCAGTCTCTGACTAGTTTCCTGTATCAAGTGTCTAGTCTCTGATCATCTCTTGTATCGTGTCTGCAGTCTCTGTCCATCTCCTGTATCGTGTCTGCAGTCTCTGTCCATTTTGTATCGTGTCTGCAGTCTCTTACTATTTTTGTATCATGTCTGCAGTCTCTGAGTATTTCTTGTATCGTGCCCGCAATCTCTGACCATCTCTTGTATCATGTCTGCAATCTCTTACCATCTCTAGTCTCGTGTCTGCAGTCTCTGACCATCTCTTGTATCATGTCTGCAGTCTCTTACTATTTCTTGTATCATGTCTGCAGTCTCTTAGTATTTCTTGTATCATGTCTGCAGTCTCTGGCCATCTCTTGTATCATGTCTGCAGTCTCTTAGTATTTCTTGTATCATGTCCGCAGTCTCTGGCCATCTTTTGTATCACTTGTGCAGTCTCTGGCCATCTCTAGTCTCGTGTCTGCAGTCTCTGACCATCTCTCGTCTCATGTCTGCAGTCTCTTACCATCTCTTGGCTCATTTCTGCAGTCTCTAATTCGTGTATTATGTCTGCAATCTCTGACCATCACTTGAGCACCTCCATATCAAATTTGACCACCTCTGTTCTAACACTATGGGAACTACAAATACCAGCATGCAAATTCTGTTGTGATTAGAGGACAGGCATGAGTTTAGTGAACTCACCCCTGTTCAAGCTTGAGGGTGAGCATTTGCCGTCAGTTTTGGAGCTTTTTTTTTGTGCGTTTTTGTACTCATTTTTTTCTGGTGTTTTTTAGGTTGGAGCTTTTTTTTTTTTATTTCCGGTGCACCTAGAGCATTCCCATCCCACAGCTGCATGTACACAAAGGGGCGGGGAATCACATGATGCCTTTGCCGAGATCCTAATATGGCCGGCTTAAAGCAGTATTAAAGTTGTAGTAAAGGAATTTTTTTTTAATTTTTTTTAAATAACAAACATCCCTATACTTGCCTGCTCTATGCAATGGAATTGCACAGAGCGACCCCAAACTTCCTCTTCTCGGGTCCCCCACTGGCGCTCCAGGCTCCTCCTCTATGTCCAATACCCACACGGGAAGCTGCTTCCCATGGGGCACTCGTGCATGCTCGTTCCTGAGCCTCGCTGTTGTGTCCATTGACACAGCAGAACTCTGCCCCACCTCCTGCTCCCTCCTCACTGGAGTTTATTGACAGGAGCAGGAGCCAATTGCTCCCACTGCTATCAATCTGCCCATTGAGGAGGGAGACAGCGATGTGAGCTGCTGCTAATGTGCACGTTGCTGGATCAGATTGGGCTCCGGTAAGAATAAGGGGGGGATTGGGGGGATCCTGCAGCAGAGAAGTTTTTTTACCATAATGCATAGAGTGCATTAAGGTAAATAAAAAACCTTGAGGCTTTAGAACCACTTTAAACCCAAAAACAAACATTTCATTTATTGCAGCTTACCAATTCTTGGATGTAGTGGCTGCATTAGTTTTCTTTTTTTAAGGCTTTCTTTCCTTTACTTTTACCTGGTGATCTGACCAGTAGGTCTGTTGTTCTTCAAAAGAACAAACTTTCCAGCAGAATGTATTAGTTACAGAGATGAGACACTTAATTTAACACTAGTAGGGGTGCTTACAATGATCAGCTTTTATTTATGTAAAACCTTTATCCCAAATTTGAATTTTTTTTTTTCCGTTGTAACTGCTTATAAAGTACTAGCTGGAATCTAACATCAATTTGTTAGTGTATTTAAATCTACTAGTATATCTAACAATCCCCTCCATCTAGACTGACAATGCTGCTATCCAAAGGTCCCCATGTGCTCATAGTGGGGGCACTCTAATACAAGAGGTGTCTTACTGGCTAGATGGGCAGAGCGAAATGCATCAGAGTATATGGTTTGGTGGAGACATGTAGGCTGAGGCCGTTCCTTATCATTTATTCACATGGGCTTGTTGGGAGTAGTGGCGATCCTTTCTGCTTCACATTCACTAGCCCTCTGGATTGGTATCAGGACAAGGCTGCACCACATGCTCTGGGACACAGGGATAAGCTTTCACCTCTACTTTGAGTGGCATCAAAAGCAATATAACAGGTTGTAGTACAGAGATGCTTTCCAGTCTCTTGAAGAAGACAATGACTTTCCTAAGCACAGTCAGTGTGAAGTTCTAACGCTGAGTGAACATGGTAGCGGGGAGGGTCTAACTAGGAATAAATGAACAACCATCTTGCTGGAGGGGAGGACAGAAAGGGAAACCAAAACCACATAGTAAACACTGTAGTGGCCCAAAACCACCACTAGATGTCAATATACTACATAACACTAATAACCTGATGCACTACAATAAGACACAAAAAAATTGCATGCATGACAACTCTCACAGTTGCTTTTGTTTTCAACCGAACTGTCAAGCCATCAAATGGCTGGTGTCATGCTTGAGCACATGTGCAGCACCCTCACGACTGTAGATCAAACAGAGGCTGTGATGGCATCTTTCTTGGCTGTAAAGCTCTGCTTTAGGTTGGTGGTTAGTAGAGGTGAAGTGCTCTCTTACATTGATGGTTAGTGGTGATGTATTCCCTAACCTTGGTAGATGCTGGGAAAGTGTCCCACTTATATTGTTGGTCAACATTTGGCACTTCTTGGGTTGGAGAGGGGAGTGGGTTCCTGGTTTTGACAGGTACCGGTCCCACTTCCGCTCAGATGGTCGGCGAACATCTGTGCCAGAGGTTCAGCCCCCTTCCGTCCCCCACAGCCTTCTTGGATGCTTCACAGGTCCTAGAAGACTAAGAGACCATTCACAAAGCGCAGCACGCTTCGCACGTGTAAAAGGAACCGGCTGTGAAACTTCCAAGATGCCGGCACCTACACCCGAAGCCGGTTGAAGAATCAGTTCAGGTGAGGGCATCGCTGGATCCCTGGACAGGTAAGTGTTCTTATATTTAAAGTCCGCAGCTACATTATTTGTAGCTGCTGACGGTTAATTTTTTTTTGGGGGGGGAGCCTGGAGCTCCGTTTTAAGTTGGTGGCAAGGGGTGAAGTTTCCCCCTTACCTAGATATTTAGTGAAAAAGTGCCCCACCTATATTAGTGATCATTGTTGAGAAGCGTTCCCTTAAAGCCACTAAACTCTGACCCTGTATTCACTATATCTGGTCTCCTACAGTACACAGAACATGAAAATACAATTATTTTAGTAAATATAAACTGCTAAATACTTTTTATCATCAGCAGTTAGATCAGTCTTGTGACTTCTATCAGTGTCCGGCCGAGCACTGGTTAATCTTGTAGGAGGAGTTTTCATTCTCTTCTGACTGTCCTATGAGGCTGCATGACCCCTGACCCCCTGTCTGGACAATGCTGATTGGCCCTGCGCGATCGCATGCACCCTCCCCAAAAGAAAAAAAAAAACCTCTCTAGTAATACACACTAAATTGAGCATGTGCAGAGTGACTCCTAGAGATCAGTCACAAGACTGCTCTAACTGCTGATGAGAAAAGGGATTTAGCAGTTTATATTTACTAATTTACTATTTTCCATGTTGTGTGTACTGTGGGAGACCAGATATAGTGAATGCAGGGTCCTGGGTTTAGTAACACTTTAAGCCCTGGTTCACACCAGTGTGACTTGTCATGCGATTTGACAGTTCCAGATCACATGACAACCTGCACCCTATTGTCTGCAATGGAACTATTCTAATCAGTGTCACTCCGACTTTGCAGTGCCGCACCGATTTAAAAAAAAAGGTTCCTGCACTATTTTTTTTTTTTGCTATTTCAGGAGTGACTCGCATAGACATCTGTCCATGAAGACGCACATGTGTCAGGCAAGTCGCACCTAAAAGTGCACTGACCTGCGGCTTTGAAATTGTGCGACTTCAAAGTCAGATTCAGTGTGAACCAGGGCTAACTCTCCCCAGCCTTCCCGGAAAGTTTGATTTGTGATTAGGAGTAATAACATCGTAATAAGAACAAACCGATACATAAAGAACAACGGATTTGTAGCTGGTACAAATTCCTGCTAAAAAGTTGCTAATTTGAAATAGCCCCTTAACACAGACCTTACATCAAAAACCTGCTTTTCTAGTAAACCCACGCCCCTCCATGAAAAGCAATAAGTAATAAATGATTGGCTAAACCACAAAGTGGACAGGGTCCCCGAAATGCGTCAGTAGTTAACACCATCTTGTCTCCAGTAGGACGTGGAGAGCAGTCCACATTGTGTGCTTATGCAATCACATGCCAATAGCTTACTTGGTTTGTGAATATAACCTTTGCCTCTTATTTCTCAATAAATTGTTTTAAGGCAATGCGCCAGGCCTTCGCGCTCTATTTATTTTCATGTCTTTGCTTAGTATAGTGTAAAGCCGGCCATAGATGAGTTGAAAACTGAACATTCTGTTGGTCGAAAAACAAAAATAGCCGATACAATTGTGCCATCTTTTTGTTTTTATTTTTTTTTTAAAATCCAGCATGTTGGATCAGGCACTTTTAATTGCGTTACAAAAAATGTGCATCGCAGCTGACACACTCATGATGCGAAAAATGAATGATTCAACGTTCAACAAGAATTTTCTTTCCATTTACGACCCACCTATGGCCAGCTTTACACTTGGCTACA